TTTTTTTTTTTTTTTTTTTTTTTTTTTTTTTTTTTTTTTTCTGTGGGAATGCCAGAGACTGGCCTGGACCAGGACCCCTAACTTAACTTTGCATGGTGCTGGATCAAAGAGGACGTTGTGATGCTGTGACATTTAGATTCCTGTTACAGGTTTGGGTTTGAAAGCTTGAGAGGGTTTCAGTTTCTTCTAAACCTGTTGCCTACAATTAGGATAAGATGGAACCGGGGGAAGTAGGATCTTCATAGGTTTGGAGGAAATACCTCTGTTTTCCCATAGGAACGGCACACTAAGATACTGAGTTACGTACACTGACGTTGTTATATTTTTGTATGTAGTAGTAAAAGTTAAGGATAAAAATAACCAACATTAGCTGCTTTGACATATGAGACACAATTCAGAGGTTTTAAAAGAAACAGAATCACCCACTAATACTTATGTACTTTTTAAGATCAATATTGTATATTTTGTTAAAAAAATAAAAAATAAAGAACACATAATTTTCAGATTGAAGGTACGCATCTTCAATAGTACCAACAAGTGAAAGTTGTTTGGTTATACTGGTGGACTCTTCCCTGTTCCTGACCTACTGAGCAGGTATGTAAGATGCTTCTATTTATGCAAATGATCTGATAGCATTTCTCCACAGCCTATACGCAGACTGTTTGTATAAATTAGTTCAAAATTAGCGCGTTCTGGATGCCTATAATTATGGTATCTCTGGCTGTTTTCTATCAAAAAGGCTTATAACCAAACTTTGAAATTCACTGATGAGAGAAGCCTAACGTCAAAGAAATTCAACTCCATTTGCATTTATTGAATTTCTTGTATGTGCAGCTTTGCCTCAACTTCAACCGAGCTCTCACGGCACAACAATTTTCTACATCTTTGTTTTCTATGTGTATAAGCAGAAGATGGAGAATGAAAACCATGCAGCATGTTGTGGGTGTTAAGTCGCAGTTGGTTTTTTCTCATTACCAGTTTCTTTTATAATCAAGTGTAGTTCTTACATATACAGTTGTCCTTTCTTTTTTTAAATGTTTATTTTTGAGAGAGAGAGAGAGAGAGAGAGAGGATGTGAGCAGGGGAAAGGCAGAGAGAGAGAAGGGGACAGAGGATCTAAAGTGGGCTTGGGCTGACAGCAGACAGCCTGACGTGGGGCTCGAACTCATGTACCATAAGATCATGACCTGAGCTGAAGTCGGGACGTATAACTGACATGAGCCTCCCAGGCTCCCCTGCTTTTTCTCTTTCAAAAGAAGCCCTCCCCCTTCTCTGCTCTCAGTCATCACAGCTAATTAAAATGATACGTATTTTCCACCAGGAAGCCCTTCAATCAACTACAGCTTCACCATGCACACCTGACACAATCAAATATATTCCAGTTTCTCAGAAAGCAACATTCAGTGGTTACTTGTTTAAAGGCATGTTTTGTAAACATAGATCTAAACTGGTTCCACCACAGATGCTGGCGAGGATGTGGAGAAACGGGAACCCTCTTGCGCTGCTGGCGGGAATGCAAACTGGTGCAGCCGCTCTGGAAAACAGTGTGGAGCTTCCTCAAAAAATTAAAAATAGATCTACCCTATGACCCAGCAACAGCACTGCTAGGAATCTACCCAAGGGATACAGGAGTGCTGATGCAAGGGGCACTTGTACCCCAATGTTTATAGCGGCACTTTCAACAATAGCCAAATTATGGAAAGAGACTAAATGTCCATCAACTGACGAATGGATAAAGAAGATGTGGTTTATATATACAATGGAATACTACTTGGCAACGAGGAAGAGTGAAATCCTGCCATTTGTAGCAACGTGGATGGAACTGGAGGGTATCATGCTGAGTGAAATAAGTCAGGCAGAGAAAGACACATACCATATGTTTTCACTCATATGTGGATATTGAGAAACGTTAACAGAAGACCATGGGGGAGGGAAGGGGAAAAAAATAGTTACAAACAGAGAGGGAGGGAGGCAAACCGCAAGAGACTCTTAAATACAGAGAACAAACTGAGGGTGGATGGCGGGTGGGGGAGAGGGGAAAGTGGGTGATGGGCACCGAGGAGGGAGCTTGTTGGGATGAGCACTGGGTGTTGTATGTAAGCCAATTTGACAACAAATCATATTTAAAAAAGGGGGAAAAAATTGATCCTGCACGAACTTGGAATATATCAATCTTCAAAGTTGCTAATTCCAATATTTTAGAAAAGTTAGAGAATGATTCTTAGAATTAGTCTTACCTTTCTGAATGAGTGTCTGAATACTAGGAAGTAACTCTGACCATGGTATGAATTCGCATTGCTGTAAATCCACAAAATACCCAAAGATCGAATGCTTACCAGTTGGTAGGCTGATACCTGTGTTTGAAAATGACAAATAAACAGGTCCAAGTAAGAAAGGTTTGTTTATGGAATTTTCATTAATGATATGATCTCTATGTGAAAAATCTGATTGTTGAACTAGAAACAGTAACTGTTCACCAAGGGTATATCCAAATATATAAAACAGGCCTATCTTTTTCTTCTTCTTATCTTTAATTATATAAAAACATCTTTTTTAGGGGCGCCTGGGTGGCGCAGTCAGTTAAGCGTCCGACTTCAGCCAGGTCACGATCTCGCGGTCCGTGAGTTCGAGCCCCGCGTCGGGCTCTGGGCTGATGGCTCAGAGCCTGGAGCCTGCTTCCTATTCTGTGTCTCCCTCTCTCTCTGCCCCTTCCCCGTTCATGCTCTGTCTCTCTCTGTCCCCAAAATAAATAAACGTTGAAAAAAAAATTAAAACAAAAAACAAAAAACATCTTTTTTATATCCCAAAATCAAGGTGAATCATGATGTGATACTCTTTGAGGTCTTACCCGGACGTCCTGCTTATCACCCTGTGCTGGATATTATTAAGCGACAGTCACGGGTAGAGTCAAAACAATATATCAGGTAAGTCTGCCACTTATTTGCAAATCACATTCACTTTTCCATTATAAAATTAGTAAATTTTCTTAATAGATTCGGGAAAATACAGGATAATAAAAGCAGGATCATTTAGCCATGGTTTCACCATATGAAGATAACAGTGCTAATATTTCATATAGTTCTTTGAATCATTTCTAAAATTTTCATACACAGGAAAATTCATTTTTGGGGAGTATACAGTTCTATGAGTTGTTTTTTTGTTTGTTTGTTTTTTTGTTTTTTTTTTTTTACCACATGCATGTATTCTTGTAATCACTGCAGTAGACGAGATAAGAGAACAATTCTAAAACCCCCCAAAATTCCCTTGTGTCCACCCCTTCTGTATTCAGTCCTAACCCCTGGTAACCACTGACCTATTATTTTTTTACTTTTGTCTATTTATTTATTTATTTTTTGAGAGAGAGAGAGAGAGAGAGAGAGAGAGAGAGAGAGAGAGAGAAACACATCCCAAGCAGGCTCTGCACTATCAGTGCAGAACCCAATGTGGGGCTCGATCCCATGACCCCAGGATCATGACCTGAACCAAAATGGAGAGTTGGACACTCAACCAACTGAGCCACCCAGGTGCCCCTGTTCCCTATATTTGCTTTATCCAAACTGTCATGGAAATGGAAAACTGCAGTATGCACCTTTTGGAAACTGAGTTCTGTCACTACATAATGCATTTAAGATTCATTCCTGTCGTTCATCACTCTTCATCAATAGCTCATTCCCTTTCACTGCTGAATAGTATTCCACTGTGTGGGTGGACCACAGTTTGTTTAACCACTGACCCATTAAAGAACACTTGAGTTCTTCCCAATTATTGTCAACTACGAATAATGCTGCCATGAATATTTGTGTGTAGGTTTGACTGAATATAAGATTTCATTGATCTGGGATAAGTACCTAGAGGCATGACGGTGGGTCATATGGTACATGCATATTGAACATTTTAAGAAACTCATACCGCTTTCCAGAGTGGCTGTGTTTTTATCCTACAATTAGCAGTATATGAAACCACCTGTGGCTCTATAGTCATGCTAACACTTGGTACTGATTTAAAAAATTTTTAGTTTTCCATCTTTATTGAGACATAAATGGCAAATGATATCATGTAAGATTAAAGTGCACAATGGGATGATTTGATACATACATATATTGAGAAAAAATTACAAGGTTAGTTAATAACTTCATCACCTCACATAATTATCTGTCTGTGAACGTGTGAGAACATTTACGATCTACCCTCTTAGCGACGTTCCGACATACAGTCTGCACGTTACATTCCCAGTTTTGATTATTTGATAATTGGAAGTTTGTATTCGTTGACCAACATCTCCTCATGTCCCCCACCTGCCGGGCACCTGGCAGCCACCGTCTTATTCTCCAGGAGTGTGGCTTTTTTAGGCACCACGTATAAGTGAAATCGTACAGTATCTGTCTTTCTCAGTTTGACTTATTTTGCTATATATATCACATTTTCTCTATCCATTTATCTGTCGATGAACCCTTAGGTTGTTTCCATGTCCTGGCTATTATGAATAATCCTGCAATGAACATGGGGATAATATTATTTCTTGGAGACAGTGAATTCATTGCCTTTGGATATGCACCCAAAATAAGATTGCTGGATCACACGGTAGCTCTATTTCTAATTTTTTGAGTCACCTCCATCTTGTCTCCCACAGTGGCTGCACCAACCCCATAATGTTTCCACAGTGGCCGTGTGAATTTAAATACTCATCAAGAGTGTACAAGATTCCCTTTTCTCTACATCCTAACATTTGCCATCATTTGCCATTTTAATAATAGTCATTCTAACAGATGTGAGGTAATAATACCTCATTGCGGTTTTCATGTGCATTTACGTGATGATTACACTGGACTTTTCATGGCCCTATTTGTCATTTGTGTGTCTTTGGGAAAGTGTCTTCTGTTCAGGTCCTCTGCCATTTTTAATCAGAGCATTTGGGGTTAGTTATAAATTTATGTTTTGCTCTTGAGCTGTAGGAGTCCCTTATATATTTTGGATATGAACCCCTTATCACACATGTATATGGCGTGCAAGTGTTTTCTCCTGTTCTATGGATTCATTTATGTCTTTAATCCATTCTGAGTTAATTTTTGTCAGTGGTGTAAATAGGGGTCCGACTTCATTATTCAGTTTGCATGTGATTATCCAGTTTTCCCAATTCTCTTTACTGAAGGGACTATCTTCTTGGTGCCTTTGTCAAAAATTGGTTGGCTATATAAGCACGGGCTTGTTTCTGGACTCTCTGTTCTGTTCCATTGGTCCATGCGTCTGTGTTCAGTGCCAGCATCATACTGTTTTGACTTTTATAGTTTTGTAATACAGTCTGATATAAGGGGGTGTGATGCCTTCAGCTTTGTCCTTCTGCCAAAACAGGACTGTTTTGTCTACTCAGTCTTTTATAGTTCCCTTGTTCCCTCTTCCTCTCTTCCTGCCTTCCTTTGTGAACTGATGATTTTCCCTAGTGGTGTGCTTGAATTTCCTTCTCTTTATCTCTTGTGTATCTACAGTTGGTTTTTGGTTTTTGGTCTGTGGTTACCATGACATTTGCATACAATGTCTTATAGCTATAACAGTCTTTTAAGCTGATAACAAGCTCATTTCAGTCACATGTAAAAACTCTTTTACCCCTCCTCCTATTTTATGCTATTCATGTCACAGTTTACTTCCCTTTATTACTGGAGCTACAGTAATTTTTAATGTTTTTATCTTTTAATTTTTATACTAGAGTTAAGTGATTCACAGACCGACATGTTACAATATTAGAACATTTGACTATATACTAACCTTTACCAATGTTTTTTACAATTTCACGTGTTCTCCTGTTACTAATTAACATCCTTCCTCATTTCAATTTGAAAAGCTCCTTTTAGCATTTTTTGTAAGGCAGGTCTAGTGGTGATGAACTCCCCAGCTTTTGTGTGGGAGAGTCTTCATCCCTCCTTCATTTCTGAAGGACAACTCTGTGGGGTGAAGTATTCTTGGTTGGCAGTTTTTTTTTTTTTTCTTTCAGCACGTTGAATATATCATCCTACTCTGTCCTGGTGTGCAAGGTTTGTGCCAAGAAATTTGCTGAGCCTTATGGTATTCCCTGTAGGTGGGCAATTTTTTCCCTTGCCTATTTTCAGATTATCTTTCTTTAGATAGTTTATAAGGTGTCTGAGAAGATTCTTGGGTTGAAATTATTGGAGGCCCTCTGAAATTCATGTAATGGGTATCTAAATCTCTCCCTGGATTCAGTCAGTTCTCTACCACAATTCCTTTAAGCCTTTGCCCCTCTCTCCCTCACTTCTCCTTCTGGGACCCCAGTAATGTGTAGAGTTTTAAAAATTACTGATATCCCAGATTTCACAGGCTTTCTTCATTCTTTTCTCTTTGTTCTCCTATGAGTGGATAATTTCAAATGACCTGCTTTCTGTCTTAGAGGTTCTTTCTTCTGCTTGATCCAGTCTGGTTGATGTTCTGTTTCATTCATTGTGCGCTCCAGCTCCACCACTTGTGTTTGGTTCTTATTTATGATTCCAATCTCCGTTAAATTTCTTATTTTGTTCATGTTAAATTTCTTATTTTGTTTTCCTGATTTCATTGAATCATCTTCCAGTATTTTCTTTTTAGCTCACTGGGCTTCCTCAAAACAAGTATTTTAAATTCTTTACTGGGAAAACCACAGACCTCTGTTTCTTTGGGGCCAGTTACTACAAAAATAATGCACTTCTTTGGCTGCCATGTGTCCTTGACTTTTCATGCTCATTGAAGTCCTTCACTGCAGTCTCCACATTTGATGATGCCGTTTCCTCCAGTCTTTACTAACTGGCTGTGGGAGAGAAAAAACTCCCTTCGACCCATTGAGGATTCTGAGGCTTTCTCAGTATTTTCTATGGCAACGCTTGCTGCACCCTTCTGGTTCTCTCCAGTTGGGTAATTTTTGGGCATGTATGCCTTCTCTCCATCCTGCCTGGCCAGGCGGGGCACCGACAGCCTCCCTGTTGCTTTCCCTAAGGTGGTGGTTGGATGCTGTATTTGCGTGTGAGTTCTCCCCATCCCGCAGCTGGGCTGGTTTTGTACCAGCCACCTGAAAAAGTTCCCTTCTGTGGTGCACACAGGGTGCTGGCCACCGGATGAGGGTGTTTATGGGTGAGGCTCATGGAGTGTTCGGGTGCCCATGGGCCAGTTCAGGGGATCCTGAGGCAAGGTGTCCCCAGCAGCTCATGGGTAGAGCTCCTTGGAGTCCTAAAGTTGTTCGGCAGGATTCGTGTCCCTTTCATGTGCTCCATTCTGAATCCTGACTGTTCTCCCAGCCACTCACTGCCTCACACTCAACAGTTCACAACTCAGTCCTTTGTGTGGGGCTAACGAGAAATGGGCCTCCCTGGCAGGGCCCCGCACAACTGAGAAGCTGGCTGCTCACACACACGCTGTCACTTTCCCCTCCTGGCACTGGGCTGTGCCGCCAAGGGAAGGGTGACACAAGTAAAGAGCTGAGAAATGTGTCTATTGTACCAACAAATGTACACATGCTGATTCCACTTCGGCATTATCTGCATATCTATCAAGCAAAGAAAGCAGGAGTTCAGGCTAAAAATGCCTTTGTGTAAGTTTCCTATTGCTGCTGTAACAAATCACCACAAACTGAGGGGTCTTAAAACAACACAGATTTATTCTCTTTCAGTCCTAGAGGTCAGGAGTCCAACCCGTTTTCACTGGGCTAAAATCAGAGTGTTGGCAGGACTCTGTTCCTCTGGAGGCTCTCGAGGAGAATCCCGCTCTTTCCCTTTCCAGTTTTGGGAGGCCACCTGCTGTCCGTGGCTCGTGGCCCCCGCCTCCATCTTCAAAGCCGGCAACTGCCCATCTCTTCAGCCATCCACTTACATCCTCACACCCGCTTCTTGGACTCTTCCGCCTCCCTCTTGCATCAGAAAGGACCCCTGTGACGAGATTGGCCCCCCGTAAAGTAACCCAGGATAATCTTCCCATCTCAGGATCCTTCACTTCATCACATCCATAAACTCCCTTTTGTTATGAGACAGCATATTCACAGGGTCCAAGGGGTGAGATGTGGGAATCTCCGGGAAGCCACTATTCTGCAAGGGGGTTCATTGTAACATCGGTTCTTTGCCTTCTTTCCCTGTTGTTTTTATCTCCTGCAACTAAGAGCTAGTTTGTGAGGAAACGGTTTCTGGTTAGGGAACGAGCCTGCCCCTCACCTAATTCTGCCCTAAGGGTAACATGCACTGGTGATCTTTAGCTGTGACGGCTGCAGTGGGTACACTTTCCACAGAATGGAACTGTTAGCCTCAACCATAAATTATTCCTACAGATAGTTTTTTCACATTTAATCATCAGTTAAAGGTAACGAGCAGAAACAAAGGAACAGCCATAAATTAACAAGACTTGAATGACTGGAACGATCAGGTGCATAATCTAAGACGGCCATGCTTGCTACATTTAAAGAAATAAAAGTAAGCTTGAAAAGACCTAAAAAGAATGAGAAACTATGAAAAAGTGACGAAGCCTATTTGAAACAAAGGAACCAAATACAGCTCCTAAAAATGAGAAGAGGGCGGACACAATAACAAAACCAGGACCACACTTACTGGGGAAGCACTTTTAAGTGCTACCATTTAGAATGGCAAACCTAAAACCAAAGTAAAAAAAGATGAAATACTTACAACTAAGCTTAGTAAGAAACACACAAAGTCAATATGAGGAAAACTCGAAGACTTGTCTCTAGGTTTCTATTTACTAATTCTTTCTCTGGTGATGCCAAGGGTAGAATTTCTATTTGGTCCTTTTTCGTAGCCACATGTTTGTTCATTTCTACTTGTTTTTGCTTCATAATTGCTTATTTATGTAAAAACAGATGCCATTTCCTTATCTTTTAGAGAACCCTAAACACATTCACATTAAAGTAAAGTCTCTGTTAGGATCCGATACTTTCATCTGGAATGAGTTAATATAATGATGGGTGACTTTGCTGGTATTGTTTTGTGTTTTACAATTTTGGTCACGGGATGATTACGAGTGGGAGGTCTGTGGGCTGTCTTCTCATTTCCACTCTGATGGTCTTGTACTTTGTACAACTGCTACCACCTGCCTCTCCTTCCTTGCCTTCATACACGCTCGTCCCAGACTAGCTTTTCCACTGGTGCTTCAGATCACAGAACAGAATTTCATATTCATCATTTTGAGATCAACAATCTAAGATAATGTGTAATTTATGATCTTGTCTTCAGGCTCACAGGGAGAGGAAACAATGGAACTGAGGGCAGTTTATACACCATAAGAGTTAGCGACATCAAGTCGAATCACAGAGTTTGACGACAAATTAACATGCCATGCTTTGACATTAAAAGTTAATTTACATAGGAAATAACATAAAACTTTGCGATCCAGACGTCTTAAACAGAACTTTTAGAAATAACTTCAAAAGGATGCTTTAAGAGTTACATCACACAAAGTAGTAGAATTTGTACTTCTGGTCATTTTTTTTTTTCTCTCTCATCTTTATCTAACAAAGTTCTTCTAAATATATTCATGTTCAGTATTTGGGCCTTTTGGGCACCTGAACCAATGGAGTCTTTGTCTTCTCCAGGTCCCTTTAATCGACAACAGCTAATTGGCAAGGGTGACTGTTTCAGAACGTTAGGATAGATTCCATTTGTTAGAACTGATGCAAAAAACATGCACAATAAAGAAACCTAAGTCCTCCTAAGATAATTTTTAAAATGTTAGTCTTTAAATATGGGGTGCCTGGGTGGCTCAGTCAGTTAAGAGTCCGACTCTTGATTTCGGCTCAGGTCACGATCTCACGGTTCATGGGTTCGAGCCCTGCGTCGGGCTCTGCACTGATGGTGTGGAGCCTGCTTGGGATTCTCTGTTTCTCCCCCCTCTCTGCCCTTCCCCTGCTCATTCTCTCTAAGTAAATGAGTAAACATTAAGCATACGTTAAAAAATAAAATAAAACCATATGAAACAGGTATTTCCTTCTGCAGAAGTTCCCGCTGGGAGATGCTGTGGAGAATACAGACCCAGCTGTTCAGCCGAAGGGCTCAGCGGGGCTGAGGTCACGGTTTTGAGGCGCTACCTCTGTTCTTCTGCTTTCCATGCATTACAGCTTCCTGGGAAACCAGAAGCAGCCCGGAATCTAATTTCCTTCTACCTCATTTCCTGGGAGGACGGGGCTGGAGTATGGATATTAACATTTTGCCTTTCACCTCACATTTGCAAGGATGGGCATTTTATTTTATTTTTTTTCAATATATGAAATTTATTGTCAAATTGGTTTCCATACAACACCCAGTGCTCATCCCAAAAGGTGCCCTCCTCAATACCCATCACCCACCCTCCCCTCCCTCCCACCCCCCATCAGCCCTCAGTTTGTTCTCAGTTTTTAAGTCTCTTATGCTTTGGCTCTCTCCCACTCTAACCTCTTTTTTTTTTTTTTTTTCCCTTCCCCTCCCCCATGGGTTTCTGTGAAGTTTCTCAGGATCCACATAAGAGTGAAACCATATGGTATCTGTCTTTCTCTGTATGGCTTATTTCACTTAGCATCACACTCTCCAGTTCCAAGATGGGCATTTTAATATGAGCCCAACCATACGGAGTTTCAAACTAACATTCTAAAGTGAGCATAATTACGACTGTTTCCCCCGAACACCGCCCAGAACTTACCTACTTGTGGGTTATTTTCAAACAGTTTGCGGACGAGATTGTCGAAGCCGTAAGTGACTCTGGCGGCTGAACTGGGATCACAGCTCTGATACAGCACCGTCTCACCTTCAGGGTCACTTTCATGTTGTAAAACGCCTCCAAACGCCCACGTAAATGCAAACATGAAGAGCTTCTGAATCACTACTTTCAATTTATCAGGATTCTTTTCCAGATACCATGTACTTTCAGCTCTGGGGTAGATGCATGTGGAAAGACGAAGGTTAACATTTTTAGAAGAAAGTTCAGTGATGTATTTCAATTTCATGTCCAAGTCTCATTATTAAACATTAGGATACAGTTAGGTATTGACATAAATGTTTTAAGGTTAATGTGGAATCTTCTTTGCTAAGTCATGTAGATTATATACTGTTAATATTTTTTTTCAATTTTTCTTAATGTTTATTTTTGAGACAGACAGAGAGAGAGAGAGAGAGAGAGAGAGAGAGAGAGCGCGTGAATGAGGGAGGGGCAGAGAGAGAGAGAGACACACACACAGAGAATCTGAAGCAGGCTCCAGGCTCTGAGGTGTCAGCACAGAGCCCAATGCTAGGCTTGAACTCACGAACCGTAAGATCATGACCTGAGCCGAAGTTGGACACTTAACCGACTGAGCCACCCAGGCGCCCCAATACTGTCACTATTTTTAAAGCACCATTAGTGTAAGAGATTTGTAGTCAACCTTTATTTCACTGATTTAGTACACGTGATTCACTTCTATTTTAGGTCAAGTTATTAGCTGAGATTTACCTATCTTTTGGGAGAGGATCTGGTATTTTTCCATTTTATGTAGATATACACAAGCAAATGAATAGTTGCTCATACGGTCTCCTCTCAACCAAGTCCTAGGGCCTGATTTACTTCAACCTGGCTAGTGGCAGGTGCTGTAAGTGTGGGGAGAGTCTCGTCCAGTCTGGGCTGACGGGGTCACCCTGGTCTGTGGACCCTGAAATTCTACAGAAACCGGGCCGAAGGTGATGGAGCTGAATCAGGGGCTTGGGCCTGATTTCAAGGCATGTAAAATAGTTCAGGATTTAGCATTATCATAAAATTATTTACAAATTATGAAAATCCTAGAAACAGATCACTGAACCGAAGTGTATTGGCAAACATTCTTCTACAGTACACATACACAACGGTATTTAAAATTTCCAGTCCTGTGAAACAGTTCATTTAGAGAACGTTTACTGAATTCCTACTGTGTATCGGCTACTCCAGACAAAACAAACACGACCCCTTCTTTCCAGAACTGGCACAGGTTTATTGCCTAGTAATTCTGTGCTTATTTGAGTGTCTGGCACCCAGGAGGTACTTAACCATGTCTGCTGAATGAATAACTGACCTCTCTTCTGTATTCTTGAATTTGGCAGAAACTTTTGCACGTGGAGAATTTTTCTCCCCAGTTGAAACGTCCTTCCAATCGTCACCTTAAAAAGGGAAGAGTATTTTTCCGCAGTGAACAATAGACCCAGAATTTACCTGGTTAATTAGCGAGGTTTAACATTCAACACTGTTTCATTTCTCAACCGTCACAGAGGTTCTTCTTGCACATACAGCTACTCATCAGACCAGAGTGTGAGCTACCTTTCGAAGGGAAGAGGAGCAGGGAACGGACCTGCCATTGTTTGAAATGCTTCTTACTTATTTGAAGCGTACATCTACATACTTCGTCATTCTATGCTAGCAACTTTTCTGGAAGTTTGACTGTTCTAACATGAAACCCTAGAACATTCAGGTAATGTGGTGCATGTGACAAACTAAATAATACATGGGTCCTGATGAAGAGAAGGACGCTTTCAGACAACAGATTTAAATTCGCTGAAACAAACAGCAAACAGGTGCATCTTCGGCAGGGGGACGGGGTGTTGGGTTCCTTCCATCTCCCGTCACCCACCTGTCTCGTCCCCGTCACGCACACCATGCAGGAGCACAAAGAGTGAGCGATTATTTCTTCCTCCCTTTAGCTTACTTTTGTTGTTATGATGTTTGTTTTCTTTATACTGACATAATACAGGCTTCTTGTAGAACCTGCCATTCTACGATTCCACCACACGTGGGTAACGATGATTAAATGCTCATGCATGTCATGATGGCATTTAATGCAATGTCATTCTAGTATTTTTAAATACAATGCTTTAACATCTAAGCTCAAATCAAAAGTTAGAAAGAGGGTTGGCTTCTCATCCTGCTTTTTAAGTTCGTCTTCATGTCTTTCCAGTGAAATGTGACATTGCCACACCATAGTCCAGGAAGTCCTTCTCCTGCTGATGGAATTCAGATTCTTGCTGTTTTATGATTATAAATAATTCTGCTATAAATAAAGCTCCTTGTGCATAAATCTATATACTTCAGTTATTACTTCTTTATAATGAATTCTTAGAATAAGAGATTCTAGGGCAGAGTATTTTGCTGTTCAAAAAAAATTTTTTTAACGTTTATTTATTGTTGAGAGAGAGAGAGACAGAGTGTGAGCAGGGGCAGGGGCAGAGAGAGGGGGAGACACAGAATCTGAAGCAGGCCCCGGGCTCCAAGCCGCCAGCACAGAGCCCGACGCGGGGCTCCAACTCTCGAACCGTGAGATCATGAACTGAGCTGAAGTCGGACGCTCAACCCACTGAGCCACCCAAGCACCCCATATTTTTAACATATATTGCCAGATGGTTCACTAAGAAAGGCTGAATCAATTTATATCTCAAATAGCTTCTGTGAGAGTTTATAGGTGAATACATTTAGCTATCGGTGTGTTTTCTTCATTCAAAAATCTCTTATTAGATGAAAATTGTATGCTATTTTCAAAGAAATGTTCCTTTCACGATCTGTAAGGTTAAACATTTTCTTAAGAATTTTATATGTTGGAAATTTTAGTAGCTGTGAAAAGATCCCCGGACTCGGGTAACTTCTACGTCTGCTCTCCCCTCTGTCCTGTCTCGGTCGATAGGTTAGCTGAAAACGTGGAGGAAGAATCCTCCATATACGCATACATTGTAGGGTGTGGAATGGTCTATGATGGCAGGAATGCCACTGCATATTTGAGGGTTTATATAAAGTCCTGAAAAATTTGGGGGAATAATTTAAAAAACTCTTTTTATTAGGTAAAATATATACCATAAAATCGACCATTTTGACCACTAACTGTACAGTTCAATGGCATTATGTACGTTTATGGCTTTGCACAACCATCTCCACCATCCATATCTAGAACTTTCCATCAACTCATACTAAAACTCTACACCCTTTACACAACAACTCCCCATTCCCTTTTCTCCCGAGACCCTGGTAATCGCTAGTCTACTTTCTGTCCCCATGCATTTGCCTTTTCCAGGTACCTCATGTAAGTGGATTCATACAATTGTGTCCTTTTGTCACTTGCTTATTTTACTTAGTATACTGTCCCCCAGGGTCATCCATGTTGTAGCATGTGTCAGAATTCCTTTTTGTGGCTGAAGAATATCCATTCTTCTGTCAAGAGACCACTGGGTGGTTTCCACCTTTGGGCTATTATGAATCGCACTGTTGTGAACACGGGTGTGCAAATACCTGTTCAAGTCCTTGCTTCAGGTCTTTTGCATATATACTCAGAAGTGGAATTGTTGGGTCAAGTGATAATTTTATGTCCAATCTGTTTAGGAACAGCCATACCGTTCTCCATAGTGGCTGCCTCATTCTACATGGTCATCAACAGTGCACAAGAGTTCCAATTTCTCCACATCCATGCCCCAATCTGTTATCTTCTGATTTTCAAAAAATTTTATAATGGCCATCCTAGTGGCTATGAAGTGGTATCTCACTGTGGTTTTGCCTTCATGCATTTCTTTAGTAATTAGTGACGTCGGGCATTTTTCATTTGCTTGTTGGCCATTTGCGTATTTTCTTTGGAGAAATGTCTATTCAGGTCTTTCACCTACTTTTAAATTAGGTTGTTTGGGGTACTCGGGTGGCTCAGCGGGTTAAGTGTCTGACTTCGGCTCGGGTCACGATCTCACGGTTCATGAGTTCGAGCCCCACCTCGGGCTCAGTGCTGACAGTTCGGAGCCTGCTTCAGGTCCTCTGCACCCCTCTCTGTCTGCCCCTCCCCCCTGTTTTCTTTCTCTCAAAATAAATAAATAAACAATTAGGTTGTTTGGGTTTTTGTTAAGTTGCAGGAATTCCTTATATATTCTGGATACTAACTCTTTAGCAGATAATGTGATTTGAAAATAATTTCTCCCAGTCTGAGGTTTTCTTTTTACACTGTTGATAATTTAAGCTAAAAATAAAACTCTAACAAGGTTAAAAAATATAGGTTATAACAAAATATATTTCATAACCAGGTTATAAAATATAGAAGGATATTTTTATGAAACTTGGTGGTAAGTACACTACTGATGTTTGCCCACTGATTTAACATCTGGTGACTTCGCTGTAATCTCCAATTCTAATCAACTGCTGATTTTTCTGTTTTTTTTTTTTTTTATAATGAATAGGACTATAGCCTCTGCATACAGTAATAGTTTTGTCTCTTTCTGTTTTTTTAATGTTTATTTTTGAGAGGGAGCATGAGCAAGGGAGGGGCAGAGAGAGAGAGAGAGAGAGAGAGAGAGAGAGAGAGAATCCCAAGCAGGGTCCATACTGCCAGCTCGGAGCCCGATGTGGGGTCAAACTCATAAGCCTTGAGTTCATGCGTGACCTTGGCCAAAATCAAGAGTCAGACACTTAACGGACGGAGCCAGCCAGATGCCCCTCTTCCTTTTTACTTCTCAGAAACCTCCTTTTTCCCCTCTAACTATTGCTACATTGATTAGCACCCCCAAGACCATGGTGAATAGTAACAGGAGTAAACGCATTATTAACAGAATTGTTAGAGGAGGCCATCGAGAGGACGTGACCGCGGCCGGGCCACAAGCTGGACCCAGGCAACTTGACATTTGTTACCCCTCTCCGGTCGTTGGAGTGCACGTGTTGCCCACTGTTCCAACGCCAGGAGCCATTCCAAGAATGTGGTCTCGAGAGAGCAACGTGTTGTCGAGAACACCCTGAATGAATAGGATGACCGAATCCCGCTAAGGCCTCTGTATAAGCTTTTAAGATTCTTGTGCGTGGGTGCGGGGATCCGCTCATCTTGCAGTCCTTCAAGACGAGCCTTGTATGTAGGCTCTCTTGCTGACCGCCACAGCCACCTACAACCTGGAGTGGCCTCTTGGGTGTCTCCCTGCCTCCGCGTATAGGGGCCAATTTGAACTCCATCCGGGAAGCAAACCTACAACTGTCAGGGGACAAAAGAAACTTGACTTGGGAACAAGGCATCCGCGAGGGGAAGTCCCAGGCTAGCCACGAACCTCTGCACAGGGAGGGATGGCCCCTGAGTCGGATGTGAGCTGAGGACACACGGTAGCACGGCGCAGCAGAGAAGGGCACTGGTGGCTGCCGTGAGGGGCTGGCCACTGACGCCCGAGCGGGGTCTGGAGTTCGGGTTAGGAAGTGAGAAGAACCGAGGTGAGAACGAGATGCGCACCTGTCTGCCCCCCTTCCGTCTGCTGGTTTTACGGAACGAGGAGGGCCCAAGTGCCACACGTCAGGGCCCGAGCCCTCGGACAAATCCTGATGGGGAATCTAAGAGGGGGAATCACGGACAAAATGAGGACAGCAGAGGGGAGGACGTTCGGCTGGACAACGAAGCAGATGAAGTGCCCCATGTCATCTGACCCTAATATGAAGACAGATTTTAAACAGCGACTACCCCGGACGTCTGCTAATACAGAAGTACACCCCAAAAGTCCTAGGAGGAAAACTTACATTTTCTCTCTGTCCCTTGAAAATGGAAATCTGATCATGTCTTTAAAATGTGATTACCCCACGAGAGAACTAAGACGCCGCCCCTGCGCACCTGAGACAGGAACAGAAGGGTGGATACAGGGGGCAGTACAAGCTTCTCCCCCACATCCAGGCCTCAGCCTCCAGGAGGAAACTCATCAAGGGCAAACACAAACCTTAAGTCTTCCCCGCGAATACCAGTAAAACACTCTGGCCATTCGGTCGGGAAACCTTAACTTGCCCCATCTGCCACAGACACGGTCTGAGCTCAACTGTTATTTATAAACTAGTGGGTTTTACCAGATTCCTGGGTACATTTTATTATTAAAGCTATAGGGTCTCTGTAGCTGTCTGGGTGTGTATGTATGTGTATGGGTATATGCTCTCTATAAATAACATTTTTGTACCTCCAGATAATATTGTCAAAATTAATTTATAAAAGATCTCTATTTAATTGGCCTAAAGAAAAATAAGCTTTGGTATCAAGAATTAACACATTGGTTATGTTGAACTCCTCCCTCTGAGCGAGGGTTCTAAACATGTCCTATTTGGTCTGGACGCCACATCGGGTCTAACCCAAGCTTTCCCCTACTGCTATGCAAGCCCGGCTATTGTCGTGAGGGGACTAAAGAAGCTG